CCTCGGCCCGGCCGCGCTGCGCCCAATCAGGAGCCGCCGTGCTGCCGCTTGATGGCCCGGCGAGGCCAATAGCGACGCGACTCGTTGGGGCGGGMGGGGCGCAGCGCGGCGCGGGCGCTTATGGGGGTTGTAGTTGACTGCCGAGGCCGGCCCGGGCGGTCGATGCGGGCGGGGACTCGCCGTCCCGAGATGCCTAGCGGCACTGCCAGGGGCGGGGAGCGGAAGCGTTGCCATGGCGACGGCCGCCCAGGCCGCGGCCTCGCGCCCGCCCCGCCGCGGGCCTGGGGTCCGCGGAATCAGATCGGGATGTTAAAACGAAGCGGGGAGAGACTAATAAACTGTAACGTCACTGACACGTCACCAGTTGTCGTTTCGGCACTCCCAGCTCTCCCAACAAACTACTGGTGACCAGTGGCTAGTAGACTAGTAGTTTGGTAGTCGCTAGTAGTCAGGCACTGGTGCATCAAAACATGATGTTTATTGTTACTATTATTTTTAAATGAATCTGTAAGGGAAAGGCCTGCAGGAGCTGGGAGCTGCAGCAGTGAGAGGCCCGGGCCCGCCTCTGGGTGGTGGCAGCACTGGCCTCAGGCTGTGGAGAAGCAGAAGCAGCTCAAGGCCCATCTGGCATCACAGTCTCAAGGTCCAGCAGGGTTTCCGTGCCCGGATAGGTGCTTTTTTGTTCCTGCAGGGGAGAGGCCCTGGCTCATGTCATTGCTCCCCCACGTACCAGTATTTTGGGGGCATGAGGTGGTGTCTGCCTGACCCTGCTCTTGCAGAGCTGGGGGAAACACTTCACTCCCCAGCCACCTCCCAAGCTGAAGCCCATGAGACGCTCCAGTGCTTCTTGGATTTAAGCCTGACAATGAGTTGTCGCGGCCTGCTTGGACTTTGCAGAAGGCGGAGCTGTGCAGCAGAATGGCAGAGGGCAGCACTTGGCTGGGGCTGGCACCGCCACACTGCTCCCCCGCCACGTCCCATATCTGCCGCCTGACAAAGGCTGGGAATGATGCCGATGGGCAGCCCCGGCTGTGTTCACACCACATCCCCGAGGCCACTGGCAGCGAGGGAAGAAGTGCAGGGGCCGGATAAGGAGGAGGTGCTGGGGGGTGGATAAGGAAGAGGCGCAGGGGCCAGATAAGGAAGAGGCGCTGGGCACTGTATAAGGAAGAGGCGCGGGGGCTGGATTCGAACCCGGGCCCTCGGGCACCTCCTGGCAGTCGGGCTGGAGCCGCAGGGAGCAACGGGGCTGCTGCGCCCCCTGTGCTTGGCCCCGCCCACGACCCCGCTCCGAGCACGGCCCCGCCCACAACCGTGCTGCTGTGATAGGCCCCGCCCACAAGACGTGCCGATGGGCTGGCCCCGCCTCCGAGGGGGTGCGCGACAACTTGGCCCCGCCCACACAGATGGAGCCTCGCCCCCTGCCCCGTAAAGCCCCGCCCATCTCACTGGCCCCGCCCTCCTCGGGCGGGGCTGGGKTCTGGGCCCCGCCCACAGCCGCCCCGGTGGCGCCCACGCGTGTCCCCGCTGCGGGAGCAGGGCGGGGGGCTCGGGGATGTCCCCGCGGCCGGAGCTGCCGCCCGCAGGGTCGCGTCGGCTCCCGGGGCTGCGGCTGGGGACGCGGCGGGGGACAGCAGGATCCCCGGTGTCCCCCGCAACCCCGAGCAAGGGCTGTCCCCTGGCAAGGGTGGCACTGTCACCCGGCTGCGCCCCGGGGCGCCGCCAGCCTGGGGTCCAGCATGGAGCCTGGGGACCCACGGAGCTGCCACCGGGGCCGCGTCCCTGCTCGGCCGCAGCACGGCCGTGGGGTGGCCGTGCCCTGCTATGGGGTGACGCTGTCCCASTGTGGGGTGGCAGCGGGTCCCCTGGGCTGGCCCTAACCCACTGTGCAGGGGCAGGCGGCCATGGGGTTGGCAGCGGGGCGGCCATGGGGCGGCCATGGGGCGGGCAGCCGTGCTGGGCGTGCCGGGGTGGCCCGGGGGTGCCGGGGTGGCCGTGTCCTGCAGGCAGCACCTTCCCCCCGCGCTGCGGCGGGAACCCGGCTCCGGCGCCGCTCCGGCCCCGGGGCTCGTGGCGGTCGATATCCCGTGGGAGCCGGCTGAGCTGACGGGTGACAGGGACAAGGTGACAGGGCGGCTGTCACCGCGCGGAGCCGCYGCCGGCCCCGGGGACGGGCCTGGACTTTGGGCTGGGAGAGGCAGCCGCCTGCACCGTGAGAATCCTCAGGTTAGGATGGGATGGGGGACGCCCTCGGGACAAATCCTGTTTTTTCCTGATTAAAGAGGGAAAACGAGGCATGGAGCTGTCCCTGTTCTGTCACATCCCCCCGGGGCCCGGCATGGAGCAGAGGCAAAGCTGGGTGTCCCGCTGCTCTGGCAGGATGCCGCTACTCCGGCGGGACGTGGCTGCAGGTGGAGCTGGGATCAGCGGGAGCAGGTGGGGGCCCTCAGTGGTGACGGGAACCCACCCATGGGTGCGGGCGGGGAGGGAGGCTGCAGTGGGCTGGGTTTAGCTCCTGGGATTTATGGGTCTGTATCCAGGTGGGAAGGGTTAGAGGGACTCCTGGATTCAGCCCCTCTCGCTGCTGGGTTGAGGTTTGCTTTGCTGCTGCCCTCCTGTGTGGTGAGGTGGGTCGGGTCTCTGCAGCCCCTGGGTGCTCTGGGCTGGGCTGTGTCCCCAGCCCTGCGGGACCCTCGGGTGGTGCCTGGGAGGGCCCCGAKCTGCGGTGACAGACACGGCCCGGGGGGGCTGTGGGGGCTGTGCCCGTCTGTGAATGGAGGGGAAATGCTCCAGGAAGGAAGGGGAGGAGGGAGCCGGGGCTCTGCCGCTCCGCTTGGGGAGATGCTCCCGTCCCAGCCCTCGGGCAGGACGTGTCCCCTCCGGGCCCGGCGTCCACAGGGCTCCCCAGGGCCGCTGTCCCCATGCAGCCCCCTCGGGACACCAGGTCTGGGTAGCGGCCCGGCCGTGTGGGACTGGGGATGGGACGGGCAGGGGAGCGGTGCCGGGTGCCTTGGGAAGGGGCCGAGCGCGGAAGCGGCTCTGCTGGTGCCTTTGCCCTGGAACTGTGGCTCTTTCCTGGGGATTTCCTGGTGGGCGGGAGGAGGAGGAGCGGGAGGAAGGCTGGGGGTGCAGCCTGAGGAGCTGCTGCTCCTGGACAGGGGCTTCCTGCTCCCCAGGGAACCACGGGGACCACAAACCCGCCCCCCACATCTGCCGGGGCACCACGCGCTTGTCCCGTGTCCTCCCTTTGCAGAGTGCCTGGAGCCGATCCTGGCTGTCGCCTCATGTCCACCATGGAGCAAGGAGCYGCCGGCACTGCCGTGTCCTGGGATGAAGGTACCTGGAGCCCCCCGGCTGTCCCGGGACAGACGCAGCCCCCATTGCTGGTGTGACCTCCTGTTTGGAGCCCCATCCCCACCAAAGCCTGTTCCAAAGGCGACTCCCGCCGCAAGCCGCGGAGAAGCTGTGATGGCCGGGAGCAGGGACACRTGCCGTGGGAGCACCCTGTGCCCCCAGCTGTAGCACGTGGGGAGAGCAGCCAGAGCTGAAGCAAGAGGGTCCACTCGGGGAGGGCTAGAGAAAAGGGACCGGGGAAGCCAAGGCCGCTGGTCTCACGGGCTCCTCTTCCTCCTCGCCCGCAGGTGAGGAGGCCTTTGAGTGCTGTGACGTTACCATCCGCAGCGGGGAGCAGGTTTCCGACGTGTACACCCAGCTGGAGAAGCTCGGCGAGTAAGTCGGGGTCCCCGTTCACGGGGTGCTGTGGGGCCTTCCCGCTAGTGGACTGCCGGGAAGTCACAGTGCCACCCATGTTTTGCACCCCGCCGCAGGGGGAAGTTCGGGACCGTGTACAAGCTGCAGGAAAAGGCMACCGGCAAGATCCGGGCCGGGAAGTATTTCCGGACGCGGACGCCCAAAGAGAGGCAGGCGGCTCAGGCCGAGGTGGAGCTCATGAACCTGCTGCATCACCCGCGTCTCGTGCAGTGTCTCGCCGCCTTCCAGAGCCCCCGGGAGCTGGTGATGGTGATGGAGTAGTGAGTAGGGGAGAATATGGGGTGGGGACAACAGGGCCACTGCTCTGGGTGCAGCCAGGAGGGCTGTCTAAGGTGGGAAGGTGCCAACGCTGGGGACCTGGCTCAGGGGTAACAGGGATCAGGAACCTGGGGGGCGGAGGCTCTCCCGGATGCGCTCAGGAGAGCAACCCACGTGGCTCCTGCGTGGGTTCCCTCTCCCCGAGGTGACAGAGCCCGGCAGAAGCCCCGAGCTCCTGAGCCAGCCCTGTCCGCTTGCGCAGCGTTGCCGGCGGGGAGCTCTTTGAACGCATCGTGGACGACGACTTCGAGCACACAGAGCCCAGCAGCATCCAGTACATGCGGCAGATCCTGGAGGGGCTCCAGTACATGCACGGCCAGGCTATCGTCCACCTGGACCTCAAACCYGAGAACATCGTCTGTGTCAGCCCGAGCAGCCACTGGCTCAAGATCATTGACTTCGGCCTGGCGCGGAAGCTGGGTGAGCACAGGGGTCACCCGGGTGACCACAACAGGGACYGTCACCATCASSGACCTGCTGTAGGGCCCAATCCAGCAATGTCAGCAGACKCCCAGATGCTTCCTTCATCCTCCTRCATGYRTCTCTAGGATGGGCAGCTCTGTGACACTGGATTGGGGCCCTTGCTGGTAATGATGGGATGTGCTGGGATCATGGRATGTCAGCAGCCCGTCCTCGGAGATGGGCAGCCCCAAGTCCCTAGGCCTGACTCCGAGTGCTCAGCACCCAGAGGTGCCCCAGGAGAGCACTAAGACCCGCAGTGGACGCTGGCGGGATACAAAGGCTTCATCATCCCCCTGGCCATGGGTTGAGCCGGCCCGGCGGGTGAGCTGGGCTGCCCCAGGAGGAGCCCAGCTGGGGAGGGACCTCCAGACCTGTCCCAAGGTCTCCCTGTGCTCTGCAGCTCCAGGCACCCCCGTGAAGGTGCTGCATGGGACCCCCGAGTTCATGGCTCCAGAAGTGGTCTCCTTTGAACCCGTGGGCCTTGCCACGGACATGTGGAGCATCGGTGTCATTTGCTATATCCTGTGAGTGGCTCTGTGGGCAGGGTGGAGGGCTGGAGAGGGCTGAGCCCCCGCTGATGTGAGCTGTCCCCTCAGGYTGAGTGGGGAGTCGCCCTTCCAGGGGGATAACGACATGGAGACCTTGAGCAACGTCACAGCTGCCCAGTGGAAGTTTGAGGAGGAGACCTTCTCGGAGGTCTCCCAGCAGGCCAAAGCCTTCATCAGGCAGCTGCTGCAGAAGGACGCCCGGTAGGACGTGGGCGAGGAGCGTGGGGACATCCCTGCGCTGGAGGATGGGGCTGAGCTGGGCTCTGGGCAGCAGAAAGCCAAGCCTGGGGGTGGGCGCAGCCTGACAAGCTGGAGGCAGCATCTGCTCGGGCCCTGCGGACCCCTGCCCAAGGCTGCTCCCGGGGCCCAGGCTTTGGGGTTTGATGCASCCCCTCGACCGGCCCCGTTTTTGCCCCCAGACGCCGGCTCTCCAGCAGCCAGGCCCTGCTGCACCCCTGGCTGCAGCAGCCGGTGCAGAGCAGCACCAAGGCGCTCTCCAAGGAGAGGATCAAGCAGTTCCTGACGCGCCGCAAGTGGCAGGTGCGTGGYGGGGATGACGAGGATGTGTTGGGAATGGCGAGGCCAAGGTGGTAGGTGCCTGTTGAGGATGGCGAGGCCGGGGCTTCTCTGCCGGGACACGGCGCTCCTTCTCCCCGCTCCAGAAAACGGGCAAAGCGCTGCTGGCCCTCAACAGACTGGCCCTGCGCTCTCCAAACCTGGCCGGGGACACGACCAACAGCCTGGGCGAGGAAGGTGACAGTCCCTGCGAGTGCTGACCCCGACCCATCCACTGCTTCCTCTGCCGCTCCGGGCCAGTGTCCCTCACCTTGAGCCCGCCCTGTGCCACCAACCCCCTTGGACGCTGCCCCTCGGGCAGGGGAGGGAGGTTCGAAGGCAGCGGGTTCCTCACCAGCTTCTCTATCGGTCTGTCCAGACACAGCCCTGAGCGGCAGCCCGGAGGAGGACGGAGCCTTTGCGCTCCCGTCTCAGCAGGTCCCCAGCTTCTTGGAGCCTTTGACAGACCAGGAAGGGGTGGAAGGTGGGAGCATCTGCCTCCAGTGCCGCGTTGAAGGTGAGACCTGCCAGGTGCTGCCAGAGCAGCCAGAGTTTGCGGGGGCAGGAAGCTCCAAGCCGTGCGTGGTACCGGTACCACCAGGGAGCCCAATGTCCTTTAGAGGTGGCTGCACCTTTGGGTGGTGGCAGAGCCCTGGGCTGCCTCGCCGCCGCAGGGCAGCAACCTCATCCTTACCCTTCCTCCCCGCAGATGTCCCCTCTCTGGAGGTGACCTGGCTGCAGGACCGCGCTCCGCTCCAGCCGGGGCCGCGGGTGCGCATGGAGCGCGGGGCCGACGGGCGCTGCAGCCTCCGCATCTCGGCGCTGGCGCCGCGGGACGCGGGGCGCTACGTGTGCAGGGCCGCGACGGGCGCGGGCCGTGCGGAGAGCGGCGCCGCGCTGGCCGTGCTGCTGCCGCGCAGGGACGTCTAGCGCTGCCTCCCGGCCCCGGCGCAGCTCGGGGGCCGCTGCCCCGCGCGGCGTCCCCTCCGCGCCCTCCCCGCTGGCAGCCCCGGCGCTGCTCCGTGCTTCCCAAGGCCAATAAAAGGCTGAAGGTTCCTGTGTTCCCGGAGTGACTGTGTCCTGTTAGAAGCAGGGAGGGGTGGGAAAGAAGCGTCGCCAGCCCCAGAAGTGGAACTGGGGCTCCCAGCTTCCTCCAGAGGGGCCTTTTCTGGGGAAATGGGGCATGGGGAAGCCGCCCTGCTGCGCTTCTAGCTTTTTCCTCCCGGCTCTGGAGAGGAGCTGGCTGCAGCCGCTGCATTCTGCTGCGCTGAAACCAGCTCCTGTTAGAGCAGGAGCTGCTCCCAGTGAGGTCCTGCTGCCACCTCCTGCCTTAAATCGGGACAAGGTAGTGTGGTCACCTCGAAACCCAGCAGGGCAGGCAACCAAACCTTCCCTTCCGCTCCCACAG